TCTGGAAATTTGCTCTGATTTTTAGGGAAGGAATTCAGATTCAGCACCAAGGGGACACGTGTCGCAACGTGATTAGAAGTGAGGAGGAAACGTGCCACGTGTCGTGGGCGGATTGGTTGGGCTGTGCTGGCCCGGGCAGAGTGGAGGACAAGGTTTGACACCTGTCACATGCGGAGAGGAAGGCCGGCTGATGGCTGCAGACGCGGAACCCACGCTTCAGAGTTCTTGGACGCGCGGTGATGGCTCCGTGGAAGGAACGCGCAAGCTGAAGGACGGGCGTGCTGGGGACGCGTGCGATGTGGAGTGAGGAAGGCAGGCGAGCTGGGGCCCACACAGACTGATGCGACTTGGTCGGCTCAGCTGCTCGGCTCAATCGGCTCAGCTTTCTCTCTGATGGCTTGGCTCCGGATGGTTGAAAATATGGCTTTCATTGTTTATTTTTGTGTGGCTTTTTACCCTGCTTTTTATCTATAAATAATTAAGCAAAAACTAGACAAATTCCAATTAAAAATATTATGAATAAAAATAATAGAATTGTTTAATTAAAGCTTAAATATTTTAATATTGTGTAAATCAAAAGCAATATTTAGGGTGCATTTTCATGCACTAATCAAGAGGTCCTGTCCAAAATAGAGGGCTTTCACTCTAGTTTTGATGGGTAATTCAACTTTGAAGTCAATTTCAAGATTAGAGATGAATTTCTTAGAGATTTCAAGAAGCTTGACGTAGGGTTTTTTCCCTTTCTTCTTTAATTCGAAAATATTGTTTTCTTTGTAGTAATTTATTCGGTTTAGTGATGCTCTTTATTGACAATATTTTCTAAAGCCTTAGACCTTACCTAATTTCTAAAATCCTAAATTTTCAAAGTTTGAGTTTATTAAAGTATGAGTTTCTTTAAAATATCTCTCTTAAATGTTATTATTTTAGACTTAATCATACTTTCCCCTCTTGATTCACAAGATTTTAGGGAGGATTCTAGGAGCAGTCCAAGGAAAAGCATAGGACTTGATTATTCTCAACAAGTTTTAATATTAGCTATGTTAGAACTTTAAAATAGACTTTTGAAGCTTTGATATGAGATTTGAATCACCCAAAAAGGAATTTTGTAGCTTAAGTTATGAATTTTTAAAGTTGTTAGAAAAACTGTCAAACAACCTAACCTGGACAGGTTTTATTCTGTTGAATTCTGGAAATCTTTGGAGATGAATTTTAATGAATAGGTTACATAATTGGAAACTACACATCCTATGCTTCGTATATTCGCAAAAATCACCTCAGACGGACAACTATAGTTCAATTTATGCATTTTTAAAATTAAGCATATTTTTCAGAAATTCTGCAGAAAAACAGCCACATTTTGATCTGGTATAATGTGTTTTTGGTGACTTTAATATACCTGAAACTAAGCTTATCATAGCTCTTTAGAAAGCCCTAGATGTCTACTTCGATTAGGCACTCCTTTTGTAATTTTTGGGACTGTGTAGGATATTTTATGATTATTCCCGTAATAGTTGCTAAAGGTGTCTTTTCTAGGAATTTATAAAACAAAGAAACTGAGACCCCTACTTTTTGAAATAGGATTACTGCACCGTTACTACCATTTAGAACATATTATTAGTGACATGTGAGAGTTGGAATCACATCATTTAGTGTTTTGTAACTCGAGTTGTTCGCGTTGGAAGTTTCATGTAGAAACTTCTCAAAAGCTGTCAAAACCGGGAAATAACATAATTTTGATTTCTTGAAAACTGTTTTTGAGGTATTTAAAGAGCTCAGATTTGGACATATGATATTTCGTTGGAAAGATCTACGTGTCTACTTTCTTATGGAGTTCATTTTTGAATTTTTGGAGACTTAGATAATAATTTATGTATATTCCCGTAAAGGTCGATGAATCTACCAATTTACTGGATTTTTGAAGAATATGGATTCGAGTTAGAAACTGATTTATGACCGAACAATTGGTAGTTTGGAGCCTTTGTGGTTGTTTAACATTAAGTATGAGGTTCTAAAGAGAATACGATGAAAAGTGTTAAAAGAAGATAAAACCAACACTTGATAACTATGATATCTCAAAGAGACTTAATGGGTCTTATTGGAGTATGGCACTTTTGCATTATTCTTTATGCATTCATGGATATTTTACAGATTATTGAACTTAGTATGTTCATTTCTTGAGTTTTGATCTTGTTTGAGCATGAGATTGCATTTTTCTTCCCTTTTAGACATATTTAATGGATTTCCACTTCTCGGTGTAAAATCAGTTTTCACCGATGTTGCGCTTTTAAAAATGATTCTGAAAAGTATATTTGTGTGTGTGTATATATATATATATAGCGATTATATGTATGGAAAACCTTCCCGAAAACTTGACTTTCACGAATCATGGTTTTCATGAGTGAATTTTAGAAAACAGATTAAGTCTTGAGTTGAGATAATTCGAGCATAATATATTTAAGTTTTCAAACGCTATCTAATGAGAATTTTAGATAGTTGACTTCAACATGATAGCCTATAGATCGGGATATGGAGATCGTATCCTTGGGGGCAGATCCTGAAACCTGTACGGGACACTCTCATAGTATGGGTGGTGATATCAAGGCTTTGCACTAGATTACGTATCAGTACTTGAAAGAGCATTTCAAACTACCGGCGTATGATCTTTATTTTTCTTCTATCTACGAATTTCTTGGATATCCTAGTGTTTAATAGAATTACAAATACTCACTATTTGTAGACTACTTATCACTTTTGAAATGGATTTGAAAATGATATAGTATTTTGAAAGAGCTTTCAAATACTTGATTATGCACTTGACTCTACATTTGACTGCATCAGTCATGATTAGGTGTTTTTCACATATTATCATCTCCTACATTTGAGTTATGCATTTTATTTTTGATGGTGTTCGAATCTTTATGATTATTTCACCTTTTTTATTTTATTGTCGTTATCCTTTTTCCTCCTACTGGGTATTTAGCTCACCCATGCTTTAAATGTTTTTCCCCCTCCAAAGTTAGCAGGTGATTTGCAGCGTGGCAAGTTGATGCCAATGGATTGAAGGCTCGAGATTTGAGGTGGTTCGTTTTATTCTAAATTTTTAATTTTTAATTCTGAGTTGAACTGTATTTCTGTATATATACTGTATTGATCGACATTGTCCCAGAGTTGTATTATTTTGAGAAAATTATAACTTTATGGATTGTTTTAGTTTTATTTGTAAAAGAAAAACTCCGGAACAATCTATTTTAGTATTTATATATTTTATTTCATTTTCATGAATTTTCATTAATTAATCTAATTTAATTAAATTAATTTTTAAATTAAATTTCAATAATCATGCCTCTCTTTTTGGGTCGTGACAATACCCCTGACAATATCCTATTGTGATATTGTTAATCCTTTGTGATACCAAAAAATGCCATTTCAGAGAGGTAGCCATAGGATCGACGATATCCTACCGTGACGCTGAAGGTAGTCCATCATAATACAAAATTTCGGCATTTTACCGTGCTACTAGATGTTTTCTCGGTGGAAAAATGAAGAAATGAGACAAATACCTCTTAAAATATAAAAGTATTAGATTTTTAATCCTTACTTTTTATTAAAAACCTTTAGTCAAAGAATTATATTAATTAAAAGGGTATTAATTAAGAGTCAAGATTAAAAATCTTATAACAATACATTTAAAAGGTGAGTTCACTAATTTTCTCTTTCTCCCTTTCAATTCTTATAGGAATATTTTAAAATGAAATATACAAGAGATATCCTAACATTTATTTCTCACCAAAACATTTGAAAAAGAAATCACTAAAAACTACAAAAAAAAAAAAAAAAAAAAATCATAAGAAAAAAATCGTAAGAAAAACCATTGTGGCCTTGAAGATCTAGCCTAGAACTCAGCAGAATTTTGTAGTCAAGCTTGTGCACTATCTTATGCGAGTAAGACTGTAAGTTTGAACCGAGCTAAATAGATTGATCCGAATTCCATCTTTCTGGTCGAACTAGGCTAAGAGGAGGATGTAGACCTTCTCCTCACTCGAGGTCAGGCAATAAATCTTTTTTCACTTGGCCCTCCAACTTTCTCCTCACTTGGGCAGAGCAATTTTGCCATTTGAGCATCCCAAATTTACTATTCTATATACGAGTCACAATCTGAATTTATCAAAATCCAACTATTTACTAACTTACCAAAAAAAAATCCCTACCATTTATTTTTGTTCCCAAAGAAAAAGATTATCAACGTTCTTCTTCCTTATCTTTGTTAAAAAGAAAAAAAAAAAATTACAGAATTTATCCTTAGTGAGTATACGAGTCTAAATTTTTATCCTTTACTTTTGATTAATATCCTCTTAAATAATATAGTTATTTGACTACAAACGATATTAATCTTGAGTAAGTGGTAAAAATCTAGACTCATGCACATGAAGAGATATTTGTCTACTTTTCCCTTAAAAAAATAAAGAACACGGGCTAAGGAAATTAAGACCTTAAATATACCTCTTTTATGAAATTTAGGGCTCGTTTGATTTATGTGTTTAAACTCATGGTTTTAATTCTGCTACAGCGTTTTTCTCTCACAAAAAAGTTGAATTTCAAATGTCAAAATCAAGAATCACTAATTTAAACACATGAACCAAACGGCCCTTAAGAATTCTATCAATTGATTTGCATATTATTTACAAGTTTGTGATGCATGGTTGGTGAAGCCAATATAACCAGTTAAGTGAGAATTTTTTGAAACTTTAGTTGGATTTGTTCATCATCCAAGTAAGGAAAAAAAATTGACTTGAAGAAGTTAAGGTCCTCTTCCTTTGTCACATAGCCTAACCCCATATTCTTGTTCTATTCCAACCTCTTCTTTTTCATTCAAATTCCATTCCATTTATTTTTCTTCTCAAATGAGGCAAGAAGAGTCAAGGGTCAAAAATACTTAATTATCAACCAGTAGCACACAGGGCTCAAAGGAGAAGAGTCAATGAAAGTTGGAAATAATTGAAAATAAGTTAATATAATGCTATAAATTATTTTAGTATAGAAAATTACATCATTTAGTACAGTATAATTCATAACAAATTATGTGAGTATCACTAGAAACAGAAAAAGGCGGGGTGGGTAAACTGAATAGGCAAATATTTCTATACATATCATTGTGTGTTCAAACTCGGCGTAAGACGGATCAGATCGGCTTTAAAGTTGAATGAAAGATATGATCTTTATCTGAATTACAGAAAGCTATAATGCCCATCACAATAGAGGCTTATTTGTGTACAAGCGAAGAGAACGGTCTTAGAATAGCCAATGCTTCTTTCTGGGAGTTCTGGTTGGAACATCTGTAAAATGGATCAAATAAAAGAACCAAAGCTTATGTCTCTAACAGCATGTGAACAAAATAGTAGTAAGGTGAACAAGAAATCCAAGTAAATGATGATCACAGTTTGAGTTCATTACCTCCAGTTGCATACAATGAGTTGTAGTGCACTTCACTCCAAAAGCTCAGCCAAACCTCTGAAAAGAGGAAGCCACAATCCAAATTTAGAGTAAGAAACTAATAATACTTTTTTTATTTTGATCTTATTATCAATAAACAAATCCATCACTAGCTGATCAAATGAACGAGTATATTCAACAACTTGAAAGTATATAGACTTTTATGTTTTAAACCAACTTTTTCTTGTATTCTATGGCACAACAGATGCTAAATTGCATTGGACATTTACAAAATACATGGCAACCTACTACACATTTGCAAAAGAGACTAAAAATTGACTTGTGAGATCACCACCGAAACACTAATCCAATGGCTACAGTGGTTGATTGAGAAAAGACTGGTTTTGAAGAGTTCAACGTGACGTTTATATTCAAATCAATTCTAACCTTGTTCTTAAAACAATTGAAAAGTTTTTCCAAGTTTCTCTTTTTATTTATTTTTAATAAAAAAACTTCATTTCATTGAATAAAAAACTAAAGTAAAAAGAAAAGAGGATCAGGCATCCTCAAGAATCAAGAAAAACAATAAAAGCAAAAACAAACAAACCCACATATGGTTAATATTAATTGATAAATGCATGTGAAAAGACTTTGTTTTGGCGAAAAAAGAAAAAAGAAGAGTTAAACTCGGTTTGCTTGTCAGCCAACATTAAGAAATCAAATGACACAAACCTCGGCTGGGATTCTTATCCTTGGGAAGGATCTCAATATAGCAAGTGTCTCGAAAAGAGGTAACTAAACAAATTTTAGCTTCAAACTGCAAACAAAGAGATATCTGCTTAGAAAACAATCAATTGCTCAGGTATTAAACAAGTGGGAGGTCAAAACACAAAAGAAATGCCAATAAGAAGATAAAATACGACTAAGCATCTGACTATAGAAAGAGGCCATAGACTAAAGGATACAGACAGTTAGAAATGTTTAATATTATTTGAATTTATCTACTTTGTTATACTAAATGGATGTGAACTTACTCGGTCCGCGGCTGCCTGTAGAGTAACATGATCTCCCCACTCCCCAGATCTAGTAACAAACATTATTTGGAACAAAATTTATATACCGTTTGTAAAATGCGAGAAAATGAATTGAACTATGTAGGAAAAACAAATTCAATAACATCAAAGCCGATGTCTTACTTTTTCATCTTCTTCAAGTAGCTTCTGTACTTCATGGGGACATAACTTTCATATAATTTTCGGTAATGCTTTAGCTGCAGAGAGAGAAACAAAAGGTCAAGCCGAAAGAAAAAAGGATCGGTGTTAGGATCCATTAATAACTTGGAAACTTGTTTGGTTAGTGGGCTGGTATAGTTAGTAGAAATTAGTATAAATAAAGGGCTTAGTAGCTCACTAGAGGTATGTTGTGATTTGGAGAGTTTTGAGAAACTAAGATTAGGGAGAGCGGTAGTCTCTCGAATACCACTAAATTAAGAGTTTTCAGAGTACTCGAATTCTCCGTTCTATCCTTTACATTTCAGTGTAATTTGGTGTTCTTAGCTGATTAGATTAATAAAATTCCCTCTAATTATTCTCATTTTCTTGCTATTTCTGGTGTGTGTGAGTGTGGTATTGGTGTTTGGCTGATTTTCTGAGTTAGGATCCTAACAATGGTATCAGAGCATCTACGATACATGGAGCTTTTTGAGTTAAGAGAGAAACTTAGGGCTATTTTGAGAGGTAATCTCAAGGTTTCTGCAGGGAGTATCGGGGGGCTCCGGGACCAGGTGGGGAAGGTTCGGCCTCAGATGGAAGACATGCAGGCGGTGCTACGGAGGATGGAGGCACTGCTGGCGGCGCGGCCGATGGCCGGGAAGGCCGAGTTGGGTCGCGACGGCGAACGACGGGACGGGGAGAGGCGAGATCGCGCGCCTCGGGGCGAGGAGAGCCCAAATCGCGTCGACCCAGGCGGAGTGGAGGTGCCAAATCGGGCGGATCTTCGCTGGGAAGTGCCGATTCGCGAAGATCGAGGCCGCGAGAGGGAGTTCCGACACCGGAGAGACGTTGGTCTCATGGAGGAGCGCGAGATCTGTCGCGATCTGGGGCTGGGTGGTCCGGATCTGCAGCGTGAGGAGTTGTTCGACGACGGGAGGAGGGCGGACGGAGGTCGCGACTGTCGGGAGAGGGCGGCGGAGCTTGTTCGGCGACGGGAATCGGAATGGGAGCCGGAGTTAGAGGAGGAGAGGCTTGCTCCGGGGCTGGGACGGCATGGGTACCCTCGGAACAGAGAACCCACCCCTGTTTCGGTCGCGGTTGGGGCTGATTCCGGACCGATTTGGACCGGGCCTCGCGATTCCGGCGTGAAAGGGGTTGATTCCGGTGTACTTGGGGCTAGTTCTGACGCCATGAAGGCTGGGATTTGCAATTCCGACGCGATTAAGATCAATTCTGGCGATTTGGGGGCTGGGGCTCTCGATGGGAGGGCTGGGACTTGGCATCCAAGTGTCATGAGGGATGATTTTGGAGCAATTAGAATTGGGTCTTGGAATTCCAGCGTGATTGGGGCTGATTTCCGCGCAATTGGGGCTGGGCTTCGTGATTATGGTGCGATTAGGGCATATTCTGGCGAGCCAAGGGCTGGGTTTCTCAAATCCGGCGTGCTTTGGGTTGGTTCCGATGCCGTTACGGTTGGGCTGCACACTTCCAACGCGATTAAGGACAATTTCAGTGACATTTGGACTGGGTCTTCTTATTTCGGTCTAATTGGGGTCGGATCTACAAAGAGCGGGGTGGCAGAAGGGGGGTTGAATGGAATTGGTGTGATAGGAATCGGAAGGAAGTGGAGACACACGGCTGCAATTACTTAACACCTTGGGGACAAGGTGTTTCTTTGGGGCGGGAGTAATGTTAGGATCCGATAATGACTTGGGAACTTGTTTGGTTAGTAGACTGATATAGTTAGTAGGAATTAGTATAAATAAAGGGCTTAGTAGCTCACTAGAGATATGTTGTGATTTGGAGAGTTTTGAGAAACTGAGATTAGGGAAAGCCGTGGTCTCTCGAATACCACTAAATTAGGAGTTCCCGGAGTACTCGAATTCTCCGTTCTATCATTTACATTTCAGTGTAATTTGGTGTTCTTGGCTGATTAGATTAATAAAATTCCCTCTAATTATTCTCATTTTCTTGCTGTTTCTGGTGTGTGCGAGTGTGGTATTGGTGTTTGGCTGATTTTCTGAGCTAGGATCCTAACAATCGGGAACACATACAGTGAGGAGAATATACAACCAAAACAAAGTTGAATGTCTTTAGAAGATTTCATATTGTATCTAAACGACACTGCTTAATGTAACCATCAAAGTTTTTTGAAGGTTTTCAAAAGAACAAGAGAATATGAAGAAAATTGAAATCAGAAAGCTCCAGAAACAAAAAATAAGTTGGACCAACAAAAACAATTTTACTTGTGTGCGACATAGTTGCTATTTTACATGTGTCATTCAACCCCATATGCACATACTTTCTTGACAAGATTACCCAACTACAAGAACAATTTTACTTTATCGTGTCATGCAAATAATAAGGTTTTCAAGTTTCATGAGAATATCTAAAGTGCACACAAAATTAACCGTGTATGGATTACGTGGTTCAAGAATGTTCAAGGATCCAGAATATTAAAATTTTATGAGCAGATTTTGTTAGAAATAAATTGATTTTTCAACACATCCATTGAATTTTAATTTACGTCGACACAATTGGTTTTTGCTAATATACATGTTTTGTTCTATTAAGAATTGTACATTAAGGGCAGGTTTACTTGTCATGAACGGGAAGGGAAAAGAGAGGAGTCGTTTCTTGCCAGTTCCCCAATTCATGTGCTTGCTTACAAAATGAGAAATGCTAATTTGGTGGGCCCACATGACATAGGGAATGGGAAAAGGGAGAGTGAATCGTAAGTTACCCCATGGTATTGTTTCCTTTTCAACCAGAATAAACCACAAAAACTGCTTTTATAGGTAACAACCTGGGATCAAACCTTTATTTTCTCTGATCTCAGCACTCCTAATGAATTAAGGAAGATAATTGTGGAAGTAGAGGATCTTAAAAGATTCATCAGTGACAAACCTGCTTTACAACTTGCTTTCTGACATGTTTGTGGTAATCTGGACTGCGAAACAGTTGATCTGCTAATGCTCGAAACTGCCAAAAGTCGAACAATTATTTTCTAAACATACCAGCAAAAGGAAAAAAGGAAAGGTATAACCAACAAATGGCCCAAGCATAAGTCAATAAGAAACAATTTATGTGTTATACCTTGGAAAAAGTAGGGAAAAATATTTATCATCACGTGTGTGTGTCTGTCTATTTCTGTGTCTAGATAAACAGAACAAAAAGGAAGAAAATAAATACGAATGGGTCGGGTTATTATTCGTTCCGAGTCAAACCTGGCAATTTCCATCGCCCTCAATTTGCAATTCAACCAAATCATAGGTGGCCAACCTGCATGCAAGGCTCTTATTATCACCACAAAATAATAATGTAAATCATGCTAATATCTCACGTGTTGCTGATCTTTCAAGATCATGAATGTTACATATGCTGGCTTTGATACCATCACCATCATCTCCGAATAATAGAAACAATGAGGCTATGTCACAGTTACATTTTTTTCCCCTTTAAAAGAAACCTATTCAACTAAAGCATAAGACCTACACTACAAAAATTGAAGAATTCATCTGACAATGAAAGGAAACGGACTACTTGGTTAAGGAAATAACCTTTCTGCTAGCCGTTCATGGTCTAAGGTAGCATCATTAACATCAGGTATCTCCCCATTAACCCGTGGGGTATGCTGCAAACACATTGATCGATGAGAACATAGGTTGCAGTTTACAGTTATTAAATTTTCTTTTGCTGGATGCATAACTTGCTGAATTTACAGAAAGACAAGTAAAGAATTTTCCAATGCACCTTTAGGCACTACTAAATACATCAGCCAGCAAGTAATGTGGGAAAAATGCACAAAGATTCTCACAAACACACACCATACATGTTAATTCGATTTGAAAAAATTTGATATCATGGATATGATAGTTCTAAGTATCACATCCTTAGAAAAATGCTGAATCTTGGTATGGTTTCCGTTATTGAGGACTGAGCATCTATATTACAATGAGACTCCCAATTCCATACTGCCTATAGTATCCCAACAAAACTACTATCAGAAGGCATACCATACGTGCAATAATCAAGTTCCTGGTTTCAAGTTGTAGTAAACAACAAACAAAATTCTGTAAGGAGATGTAGTGAAGGAGCCAAAAGTCAATATTAGATTAATGGTTGTGGAATGAAGGGGGGTCACTGTATTACGCTTGGCATATGGACTGCTTGTGGAAATAACATTCTTGTATTGATATGACATCACTTTGTTACCTTATTAAAGCACATAGAAGGCATTTGTGTAATGCTTCAAAAGGCCCGCAAAAGGTCTGATACTGATGGCCTAGTTTTCAGTCGGCACAAAATTGTGCTTCCGCACCGAAGGAAAAAAAAAACAAAAGAAAAAAAAAATAACCGAAAAAGTAATAACGACTAGGTAATCTGCAACTGCCTATCATTTTAAATATGCACCCTAAGATACCAACATAACTCCTACGCGGTTTAGCCACAAGGTGAACTTTAGGCTTTGTTTGGTCAGAGGGAAAGAAAATAGGAAGAAGGAAAGAAAGGTTCATAACCTAGGTGAGGAAAATTGAGAGGAAAGAGATAAATTTTCTCTTATTGCGTTTGGTATGGACTCCCTCCTGCAATCTCTCCATCTTGGGGCAAGATAAAATTAGGGTTCTCTGAAGGATTTGAAATCCCTGACCCAATCCATTCCCTGCTCTTTTCTCTCCTACCAATAACCAAACATTCCAAAATCCTTCCACTAATCCTCCCACCCCCTCTCCCTCCTTCCACTTTTTTCTCCAGCCATACAAGCTCTTAGTGCTTTTAACTCTTAACAGAACTCTCCCTTGCAGAAGTCAGACATCCACAGTTCTTAAACTGATTCACTTCCGAACTATCTTTTATAAGAAGTTGTTCTTCACAATGAAATGCACAAATTATCTTCAAATACTAATAAAGTCCTAAGATTCACTTCCGAACTATCTTTTATAAGAAGTTGTTCTTCACAATGAAATGCACAAATTACGCTTGGCATATGGACTGCTTGTGGAAATAACATTCTTGTATTGATATGACATCACTTTGTTACCTTATTAAAGCACATAGAAGGCATTTGTGTAATGCTTCAAAAGGCCCGCAAAAGGTCTGATACTGATGTCCTAGTTTTCAGTCGGCACAAAATTGTGCTTCCGCACCGAAGGAAAAAAAAAACAAAAGAAAAAAAAAAGAACCGAAAAAGTAATAACGACTAGGTAATCTGAAACTGCCTATCATTTTAAATATGCACCCTAAGATACCAACATAACTCCTACGCGGTTTAGCCACAAGGTGAACTTTAGGCTTTGTTTGGTCAGAGGGAAAGAAAATAGGAAGAAGGAAAGAAAGGTTCATAACCTAGGTGAGGAAAATTGAGAGGAAAGAGATAAATTTTCTCTTATTGCGTTTGGTATGGACTCCCTCCTGCAATCTCTCCATCTTGGGGCAAGATAAAATTAGGGTTCTCTGAAGGATTTGAAATCCCTGACCCAATCCATTCCCTGCTCTTTTCTCTCCTACCAATAACCAAACATTCCAAAATCCTTCCACTAATCCTCCCACCCCCTCTCCCTCCTTCCACTTTTTTCTCCAGCCATACAAGCTCTTAGTGCTTTTAACTCTTAACAGAACTCTCCCTTGCAGAAGTCAGACATCCACAGTTCTTAAACTGATTCACTTCCGAACTATCTTTTATAAGAAGTTGTTCTTCACAATGAAATGCACAAATTATCTTCAAATACTAATAAAGTCCTAAGATTTAGCCAGTGTGGATCTTATTATCAAATTTTGTTTCATATCCTGACTGTTTGTCTGCAAGTAAGATGTTTTCTCCATACACACGCAACCAAATGCATAAGTTCTCTGTCATTAAAATAAAGAGAATGAAAACCAAAAACACAACAAGGAACATACCGGAATAGAATCCAAATGGGAAAGCCTCTTCCCAAGCCTGTGTTCGGCTTTGATCTCCTCTTCTTCTGCTAAAATACTAGCAATGGTTTGATCATCCTCTGTATCATCATGAGAGCTAGTTAAACTGGAGGTAGAGCTCGCACTTGCATTGCTGTAGCTTTCATTCATGCTAACCTGAGCTAAATCAAAAGCTTATAGTGACCTGCAAAACGTGTGAAAATATGATCACAGAAATGAAACGACTAAGACTAACCCAAAAATCATACCTTTACCGTCAAAATTAATAACCCATGAAATGAATTGTCCCATAAACTATTGGAGAAAATAAGAAATGCCCTTTAGGCTCACACCCATTATAAAGCTTTCAGTATGAAACATGGATTGGATTCATAAGCTTTCCGATCTCTGTTTGATTCGTGAGAAAGGAAAATGGAAAATGGAGAGAAAAATCAAAACGGTATTGTGGATTCCTCAACTACAAGCCGACAATGTTGGATTAATACAAAAATTAAAAAACAAAAAAAAAAAGAGTTTCATTGAACTAATACAAAATCAGATGATTCATCACTACCCTTATAATTTTCTCACCAGAAAATGGAAAATGAAAGAAAAGTAGAAACAAAAGAAATTCAATACGCAAATTATTAAAAAGAAAAACACAAGTGAATTGGAGAATTCTTAATTAAACAAGAATGAAAATACCTTCCAACGCAGTATAGGAAGACAAACGAATAAGAAACCGCTCGAGCGTGGCTTACTTTAATTCAGCTCATGAAAGAAAGAAAGAAGGGAAAAAAAACACTGGAAAATGAAAACAATCAATATCTTTGAGGTTTTAACTAGTTTAGACGATTTTGTATGCAATCTATTGAAGCAAATAGACCAACAAAGGAGATCCAATATCCAATATTATCTTTCTTTTTGTTTTTTTGTTTTTGTTTTTACTTGAAAATATGTAATTGTTTGTCTATTATTCTCAGCAACCGAACGGCTCATGAACCATAAAAAGTCTATATTCCATAGAGACGTGCAGGTGAGTATAATAAAAAGGCAAACGTAATTCTCAAATTAATACCAGTAAAAATGACATAAATTATTAGTATGGAAGTTGTTTAAAAGTTTTATTTTTATTAAAAAAAAAAACTAGGTTTTAACCAAAAGTGAGGCAAGTAAAAAGTTTAAATTGCACAAAATATTGAATTGTGTAGGAACTGATGATGTGACGGGTAAGTTATTATTTGTATGTAATATGTAAGTTGTTATTTTTATATTAGTCGTGTCAATTAATAATAAAAAATTATATCTATTAATAAAAAGATAATAATTTATATGTCACATTAATTAGTATATAATAGTTGAGATTTGAGTTATTATTCATAGTAAAATGATGTGATTTGTGTGTAATAATCTAATTTTATAATCACTATATGCATTTATAATTAGTTAAATATTCAAAATAATTAAAATTATTATTTAATTAAAAATAACAGTATTTATTTCACAAAAAATAGACAAATTTAGTGGAAGCAAAATTTTTTTGGATTATTATCACTGGAGCCCTTAATTTTAGAGTCATTTTTAGTTGACCTCTAAACGTTAAAAACCCTCATTTTGTCTTCTAAATTTTAAAGTAGTCCCATGTAAACCCTTTTGTAAGAATTTCTGTTAAAATCATATTAGAAAAAAAAAAGTTACGTGCAATCACGTGGTTTTTATCAGTTTACTTTTAATATATATTTAAACAGAAAGATCATATAACTGCGTTACTCTCTTTTTCTCTATATAATTTTAACATAAATTTAAAAAAAAAAAAACTAAATGAGAATAATTCAAAATTCAAATGACAAAATGAGAATTTTTAAAGTTCGGTGGACAAATTGAGAATGATTCCAAAGTTTAAAGAGCACCGGTGATGATAATTTATTTTTTTTATGGCGGAAGTAAAATATTTATCAGAGCAAAAAACCAATTTTCTCAATACTAATTGACTTCTCTCTTTTATTTAAACCAAAAAAAAAAAACGAAATCTTCCAATTCAAAATTTATTAGTTAGAATAAGTAAATGATTTACCAATCTTTGTGTAAAATTTACACCAATTTATTAAAGTAACGCACACCATACCGTTATAAAATAGGGAGAAAGATGAAAATAGGTCAATACTTGAGATAAATTAACATTAATAGGTCAATAGTTTACATAAATTAATAAATAGGCTAAATTACTGTTTTTGTCCATAACTTGTCTGGTTATTAACCATAACTTGACAAGTTATTGTTCATAATTCACGGTTTTTGTCTATAACTTGTCTGACTATGAATTATAACTTGATAAGTTTGTCCATAACTTATCTGATTATGAACCATAACTTAACAAATTATGACTTATTAATTTCTATAACTAAAAATTAGCCTATATACTTTCTTAAACTTTTCATATTAGCCTATTTTTTATAAAATATCTATTTATTAAACTCGTCATCAAATTTTCTTGCTACCAAACGGAGAACATTCCTGGCCTACCATGGATAAATCCAGATAAAAAAATACAAAAAAATATATATATTTCCTTTTTTTTTTTTTTTGCTGAAAAAAAAAATGTTTCTAAGAAGAAGGGAAGACAAGAAAGGGTTGAAGTTTCGTGGAGGAGATAGTTTTTGGGTAATCCTGACCCGAGGGTCAATAAATTGGAGTATTTGACAAAACGTCATTCCAAGTTCATTTAAGTTTTCATCTCTCCTACAAGAAATTTATTAAGACTTGATTGGCATATGCTTTAAGTTATACAACTTTAAGGAACCCAAACAAAAAGATCGTGAACAAATTTGGTATGTTGTGTTATCCAAGTTATGGTAGAATAGACGTGTTGGAGAATCACTTTTAACCATTAGAAGTCAGGTCAACGTGATAATCTTTGTATCTTTTTAATAATGCTAGGATATGCTAAACATATATTATACAACTACATTTTGAAGTGGTCAAATTACAATTGCAAGTTTTTTTTTTTTAATTATTAAATGACAATCACAATAAGCTCGCAAGATTGCAGCCAAATTTTTGTTCCAACTTCCAAGTGGACCAAGCCCATCTCTATTTATTTTTTTTATTTTTTCCTTTCTGTCTAGGATTTATAGAAGATTGGCCTTGTTTGTTTATGACACTTAACATAAGATAGGTAGATGAGGAAAGAATTAAAGCCCCTAGACAGCTCAGTATGGAGGGCGCAATCGTTTTGCTCGTTCGAATTAAGAATTTGAGTTAAAAGGTGAATTCATGTGAAAGAAAATATTGTAGTAAAAAAAGTTAAATCTGAATTATTATGAGAGAAAACATCATAACAAAAACTTGAGTTATGATTCGAACTAACGAAACGAACGAGGTAGTTTTTAGTTTTTTCAAATGCAATTATATGCCTTTGACTTGGCTCATCCTTGAATAAGAACAAGTTAGTGTAGATGTATATTAAAACTTGGCTTATGAACTTAGCTAGAATTTTGTCTAATTTGATCTTCTTACAAAGTTCAGTCCCAGTTCGTAAGATCGTTTTTTACATAACTTTATTTAAAATAAAGGTTGAATCAAATTATAAGTCCCATCTATTTTATTTTGTTTATTCGTTTGTTGTTTTTCTCCTTTATTTTTATTCATTCACCACCCTTCTATTCCAATATATAACAGTCCAATCGAAAAACAAATTGAGGAAATTGCAATCCACTCTTGAGGGTGTTGTTTAGAATTGTACCGCTATGTGTTTTTGTGGAGGCTAAAATGTTAACGTTGCGAAGAATTTGACATCCTAATTCTTTAGCAAACAAATAACCACAAACATAAGATTTATAGTAGTATTTCATCATCAATATGAGAGTTACATTTATTTTCAGTTTTTACCATAATTTGCCGTAGCAAATTTTGGGCTTGTTCTTTTGAGTAAAAAATTCAAAAAAAGACAATTTGAGTTATAATTTTATTCAAGTTTATGTTCTTTTAAGTTTAAACTTGAGTTTAAACTCGAGTTCAAACTCGAGTTTAGGACTAAAACTCGAGTTCAAGTTTTCCCTTCAACTCGAGTTCAGAAACTCGAACTCAAATTAATGAACAGTATTTTTTCTATTCTTAAAAATGCTATAACTTTTTCGTTTTAATTCTGATTGAGATGATTTTTTTTCTATGCGTTGACAACGAAAAGACGAATAAAATCCGACCCATATGCCCTATTAAAATTTTTCATCAGCATTGAGTTTTTATTAAAATACTATCTAAATACAAATTCAAGTTTTGACTCACTCAAACACAAACTCAAAAAGATTCTTATCTCAAACCATAACTCAAATGTACACAACCAAACACAAACTCAAGTTATAAGTTCAACTCAAGTTATAACTCAAATTCAACTCAAAAATTATACTCAAGTTAAACTCCAAAAGAACAAGCCCTTTGTAATGAGGTCCCACATAGATTTGAAGGGGTTGTTTTTTTAACAAAACTCAGAAAAAGTTTAAACTCGAGTTACAATGTGATTGTTCTTTTGCAACAAAACTCAGAAAAAGTTTAAACTCAAGTTACAACTTTATTCAAGTTCACGTTTTTTTAAGTTCCAATTTTATTCAACTTTAGTCAACTTTATTCAAGTTACAACTTTAACTCAAGTTATAACTCAAATTCAACTCAAAAACTATACTCAAGTTACACTAAAAAAGAACAACCCTTTATTCAAGTTCATGTTCTTTTGTAAAATATGAGTTTGAACTCGAGTTTAAACTCGAGTTTTAATTCGAATTTGAACTCGAGTTTAGGGTTAAACTCGAGTTCAAGTTTCCCTTTCAAGTCGAGTTCATAAACTCAAACTCAAGTTAATGAACAATATTTTTTTACTATTAAAAATGTCATAACTTTTTCATTTTAATTCTGATTGAGATGATTTTTTTTCTATGCATTCACAACAAAAAGACGAATAAAACTCTATCCATATACCCTATTAAAATTTTTCATCACCATTGAGTTTTTATTAAAATACTATCTAAATACAAATTTAAGTTTTGACTCACTCAAACACAAACTCAAAAAGATTCTCAATTCAAATCATAATTCAAATGTGCACATCTAAATACAAACTCAAATTACAACTTCAACTCAAATTATAATTCAAATTACTCTAACTCCAAAATGTAAAAAAATAACCCATAAGTCTTTAAGTCGCGATTTGGGCCTGTAGCAGTGGTTTTGTACACGACAAAATGAAATTGATGACGGGGGTAGGGGCGATGCTATAACTGTGTTATTTTTTTTCCCAACTAGATTTTTGTGATTAATGGTTTTAAAGATTTTTTTTTTTTGTGATATTCATTTCACTATATCATAAAAAAAAGTGGATGTTCTGGCTACAGTACATTTTAGTCGTCCAAAACACCGTTTTTTTTTTTTTTTTTTTTTTTTTTTTTTTTTTTTTTTTTTTTTTTTTTCCTTCTTTCCCTATTTTATTTTCCTTTTCTCCATTTGCTCTTATCCTTAAGACCACTAAGATCTTTATTTCTTTTTAATTTCATCGTTTTCAATTTGATATTTTTTATTCCTTTCTTAACTTTATTTCCCTACCATTGTATTTTACAAATGATGCTTTATATTTTTTTCTATTTTTGGTGCTTTACTTTTTTCTCCCTTTCTTTCTTTTTGGCTTCATTTATCTACCGTAATCTCTTACCCATTAATATTTTCTACCTTGTGCTTTTTTGTTCCTCTAATCCTCTTTCATTTTCTCTCTGAAATGCATATATTCAGAAGTTATTTACACAGATAACCCTTTCTTTGTTTAAATCTTTAAGTAAAATTTTCTTGTATTTATTCTTTCTATTCATAAT